GCACGTGCATGGTGATGCCACATGCAACCCAGGCCCCCAGGCACGTGTATGGACCTTAGGCGCACCCCCAATTCCCAGCAGCCGGCTGCCACCTTGCCCCTGCCCCTAGTGCAGCGGTGTGGGCCGGTCCAGGGCCCTGAAGTAAAGCCTGCAGAAGAAGTCACGGGGAGGAGGTGTGTAGCAGGTAGGGAGGAAGAGGACTTATTTAAGGGTCGGGGCTGTTTACACATGAAGGGACCGGCCACTCTGTGGGTCCCTGCCTGGAGGGAGGCCAGCAAAACCAGGCCAGCCTGTGAGGGCAACTTCACAGGTACAAAGTGGGGCTGGTCCTGGGTCCTGCCAAACAGGGCTCATGTAGGGACCTGTGGTGGGACCCAGGATCAGCACCACCCAGGAATATTGGACATGAAGATTCCTGGGCCTCCCCCGGATCTGCTGACCCAGGATCTCTGAGGGGTGCCCGGGAACCTGTGCGTCCCAGTGATTCTCACAGGTGCTCAGTGTTAACGAGGACTGCTAGGAGGTTTTGCGAACACTCCCCAAGTCTGCAATTCCATGCTTCTCAATACCCAGCAGGGCATTTCTGTCCAGCCCAGGGCAGCCAAGTGCTTTGATAGAGGATGACCCACTCCCTGCATCAAGGCTCAGTAAATTCTGTCCCCAGCCTTGGCCGAGATGATGCAGGAGCCCACGCGCCAGGGCACACCAAGAAGCCTGCTGCTCTCAGAGGCTCCTCTGGCGGAAAGTCTCCCCAACCCGTCCCTCCTCACACAAGCTGCGCTGCTTGGGGCGTGAGTGGCAAAAATCCGCCCTGGGTTTTCTTGGCCCCAGATAAACAGGGGAAGTGTGGAGCTTGGGTCTGAAGCAGCCACCAGTGGGAGACATGGGGAGAGGCCAGATCCAGCGGTGGCTTGTGTCGGATGCCTCTCCACTGGCAGGGAGAGGAGGGTCCCCTGAGAAATGAGCCCCTGAACAGAGCAGCGCTGGGCCGCTCCTCTGGTTCCTTACAGTGACCACTTACAACCCGGCTGGAAGCTCTGGGACCCAGCACGACCGTGGCCACTCCTGCTGCCACCCCAGGGTGTGCCATGATTCCCCCTGCAAAGCCCCTGCTGGAGGACGCCTCGGGGGTCTCCCCACTGGCGTGTCTAAAACAGCGTGACACAAGGCACTGGACTGGGAAGAGCAGAGACAGCAGTGACAGTGGCCCCATGGCAGGCCGGGATCCCCAAACCCTTCCTGGCCCTGGCTCTGGGCCGAGGATCCAAGAAGGGACCCCTGCGACACTTCTCAAAATGGAGAAGAGACGACTCTCAGCAGGAGACTAAGCCACCAGCAGTCGCCAACAGCATTCACCCCCAGCAGAGCAAAAAGCCTGACTCTCTGACGGGTGCTGGGCCCCGGGACCGAGGAAGCCACAGGAAATGGAAGGATGGATCACCATCCACGCTGGCTCAGGAAGACAGGGGCTGGCTTTGAGCAGAGGGCGGAGGTCAATGCCACCACCATCTCGTGTTACTGAGCACCTACTATGTGCCAGGCATTGTCCTCAGCCCCCTTCCTGCCCCTCTTCATTTAAGTTTCACAAAAGCCCTCCGGCAGGGACCTGTGCCATCTGCATTTGCTTGGACCGTGAAAAGGACTGAGACTTGGTGGAATGAAGCGCCCTGCTTTAGGTCTTCCAGCTCAAGCAGGGGCACCAGGGTTCAAGTTTGGGCCTGACTCTGAGGGGCCTGCTCCCCAGCACTGTGTCCCTCTGCCATCAGACTCAGAAGTACGCTTAGTGACGGAGAAGCAGGGCAGGCCTCGGAGCAGTGCGCTCTTGTCACCAGAGGGCAGAGCGGGCGTGGACGGCCCTCCACTGTAACTTAGCAACCCAAGGCTTCACCCATGTACCCGCTCCCCACCGGCCGGGCACAGAGCTACACGTGGTGGTGGGAGACGTGGGGCGCGGAGCCATTCTCTCCCCCAAGGAACTCTGGGTGCACCGTGCCGTCACCATTACCACGCCTGTCCCGGTGCCGTGCCGAGAGGGGCGAGCCATCAATTTAGAATTACAAAATCCCACTCTTTAGACACGAAAGGGCCCTCAGAAATGATGTGCTCCAACCTGTTTTGGAAAAGAGGCTTTGAGGGGTAGTGTGGGCCCTCACAGGCCACCAAGCCCAGAACGGCTGCACACTGGCCCAGCCGAGGCTCCCCCTTTTGGGTGGGCCTCCCCTCTCCCAAAAGCAGAGAGCAGGCCCAGAAAGAGGAAGGCAGCTCCTAAATAAGACCACTTCTCATAACCAAGCTCTCCACGTCTCACCGGACGGTGCCCTCCCCCCGCCCCACGGGCCCTTGCTTGCTTCAGCCGCCTCTTCCTGACACTGCGGCTGCCAGACCCGCCCGGTGGACAGCCCCCTTCAGCCTCACAGGACCTCAGACAGGGACAGGAGATGTGCAGCCAGGCTGCTGAGTCCAGCGGCGTCTCCACGTGGTCTGAGAATACCCCTGGCCCTGATGGGGCAGGCTGCCCCAGGTTACGGCTGTGCTTCATAGCAGCAAAGACCGAGAGGTGGAGAGTTAAACGGCACCGGTTCTGGAGCTGAGATGCCAGGAAGTGAGCTCCTGTCCTGTCGCTTGGCAGCAGCGTGATGCCAGACCATCTCTCTTCCTTCCTTTTCACGTGCAGAAAGCTGTGCATAATTAATGCCTGCAACTGGAGGGCCTGGAGATAAGGATCCACCTGTGAAACCATCGCCGTCATCTGCACAAGCCTGACCATCAGCTGTGAAAGCTTCTTCCTGCCCTCTTACTGTTACTATCAATTTTATGTGATAAAACACTTAGCACATAAGATCTACCCTCTTAGCAAATTTCGAGTGTGTAGTAACATACACGTATCCTTAGCGGTAGGCACTGGGCCGCACCGCAGGTCTCTAAGACAGAGTTCTCTGTGTACCTGAAACTTTGCGCCCTTTCACCGACACCTTCCCGCCCCCTCCTCCAGGCCCCGGCAACCGCTCTCTGCTCTCCGCTTCTATGAGTGTGACTGTCTCAGACCCACCACCCACGCAGCGTCACGCAGGATTCGTTCTTCTGAGTCTGCGAGGGCCAATTCTGCACCCCGGCCAGCCCCCATCTCCTGGTCTGAAAAACAGACACGACACCTCCCCCCCAGGGTGGTTTTGCAAATTCAAAGAGACAATACCAGCAAAGCGCACTGCCTGACAACCACTCTCATATCATTACTCTTAGTCATAATAGCGAGGAAACAACTCCCCTTCGCTGGCTCTTACTCTCCGCCCGGCGTGACCGTGAAGTCCTTCCCATGCATTATCCCATTGATTCATTTCACTTCCAGGGCGCCAGGTCAGGGTCGTTAAGCAAATCACCCCGTGTCACACAGCCATGAAATGGTGGGGCTGGGATTCCAGCCCAAGCGTGACTCCAAGGCCTATGGTGACACGTGTGGGTCCCTCTTTCACATTTGTCCTCCCACCCCGTTTACAAAGCCCCTCGGGAGCCGAGTGGGCCCTGGGGGAGAGCACCCAGCGGCAACCAAACTGGGAGTGATGAGGACCCTAGGGAAGGAGGCATTTGGTGATTTAATTTTCCAGTTAGCTCGACAGTCCCGGGAAGCCTTTGTTTAGAGCTAAATATTTTCTAAAGCAAAGCCTAGAGCAAGAGCTTGCCAACCAGAAGGCCAGTAGGAAAAAAGCCGCAGCTGCTCTGACAGCCCGCCACGTGGAGGCCACCACGAGGCACACACACGCCAGGGTGTGCTGGAACCCGGCCGCCGGCGCCCCGCCCTCCTCCTCGCCGGGCATGGCCACTCTCCATTTTCCTCGAGGAGAGGCTGCCCACCCCTGGGGAAGACAGACCCTGTGTTCTTTCCTAGCTGTGCCTTCCGGGGGGCTCAGGTTTCCCATCTGTTCTGGGAAAGAGCGAACTGGAGGTTCTCCAAGGCCAATGAGAGCAGAGAAGGCAGCGAGTCCCTGTCGAAGACAGAGCTGGGCTCCAAGCTCACTGCCAACCTTCTCTATCAGAGGCGACCATGAGTGCTGACCTTTGCCAAACAGACATTGTGGGCCGGACCCCAGGCTGCGACTTGTGGGGACTGTTTCATTTAATTGACACAGCTACTTAGTGATGATGACACTTTTATTCCCATTTTGCAGAGGGCAAAACAGACCCACAGAGGGTGAGTGACTTGGTTATGGGCAAACAGCTGGTAAGCGAGAGTCAGGGTGCGCATGTCCAGCGCATCTGGGGAAGAACGGCTGTTCTGTCTGTGCCCTTCCCACTAAGTCCGGCGACCCCACCATGCCAGGCACTGCCTCCCACAAGGGTAGGCTTTGCGACTTGTTTGGCATAAAATAAACAGACCCTGGGCGCCTACCACCCAGTGCAGGGCTTTGGCCTGAGGACCTCAGACCCTGGCGGAGGATTTCCATCGGTGACCCTACACGGGGTTCCTACACATGGGGTCCAGAGTCCACGGGGCCCCTCCCTCAGGGGCCACCCAGGCACCCTCAAGCAGATGTAACAGGCTCTTATCGGCAGACTCACAGTGGGTGCCCTGTTGAGCCCCAAGTAGCCCAGGGATCGGGCTGCAGGCCTGTCCAGGCACTGCCTTCAAAGGGAGCTCGGGAGGCGCAGGCCCTCTTCGCACACCTCGGCTGGCTCCCCACCACCCGCGCCTCTCGCGCACCGTCATCCCCCAGGCAAAGGGCTTGGGGACTAGCTGCAGTGCCTGCCAGGGGCTGAGGGCTTCATTGGGCAAAATCGAGCCCGCGATACTAGGACCCCCAGGGTCCACCCCCCTGACCCTTGCCCACCTTCTGAGCCTCCCTACACGTCACCTCTCCGTTCGGCAAACTCCCTTCGGCTCCCCTTCTCCCGAAGGCCCGGCGGCCCCGTCGTCCACAACCTGGGGATGTCTAGGGGCCCATCCCGCAACTCCAAACCCAGCCGGGTCGCGAAGCCCTCGCTAGCACCGAGCGCGCGCGACTCACCCGCAGCCGGGGCTCCACGGGGTTGAAGCCACCTCTGCCCACTCGTGCAGAAGTGCTTTCTGCTTTGTCCAAATCCGCCGCTGCAACGCCACCCCGGCACGGGGAGGCCCAGGCGGGGAGCACAGGCAGCTCCGCGCCGTCCCGTCTGCCACCACAGGGCTCGCGTGCCCGCTGCGCGCCGGCCAGTCGTGGGAGCCGGGCGCGGGAGTCTGTGCGAGTGCGCAGGCTCGCGGGCACAGCCACCCAGCCGCCGGCCAGAACTCACCTCTCGGCTTGCGGAGTTCTGGGAATTGTAGTTTGAATCGGGAACAAACCGACTCTGTAATCGGCGGGATCCTGGGAGTTGTAGTTTGCTTTCTGGGAGAGGCTGTTTTACTTGGTGTTAAGCTTTCCAATTATGGGAGTCCTGATAATAAATTTAAATGCAACTTAAGCCAATAATCAAATGCTATTTATAAAATCAAATTAAGTATGTATTTTGCCATATATAACGTGCAGTTTTTGACCAAAATTTTGAGGGGAAAATGAGAATGTGTATTATACATGGGTATACTAATTACATACCATGGATATAATATATATAACATTCCCGTGTATGATGCACACAGAATAATATATTATTATCTTTTTCAAACGATTTTATTTATTTATTTTTAGAGAGAGGGGCAGAGAAGGAGAGAGAGGGAGAGAAATATCAATGTGTGGTTGCCTCTTGTGTGTCCCCTGCTGGGAACTGGCCGGCAACCCAGGCATGTGCCCTGACTGGGAATCGAACTGTGGTTGTTTGGTTCACAGTCTCATGCTCAATCCACAGAGCTCCACCAGCCAGGGCAAAATAATATATTATTATATCATATATAACAACCCCATGTATAATGCACACAAAATGACATATTATTATATCACATGTAACAATCCCATGTATAATGCATACAAAATAATGTTATTACATCACATGTAACAGTCCCGTGTATAATGTGCACCGAAACGTAGTGCGCATTATCCACAGCAAAATACGGTGATACGTTCCGGTGCTTTAAAAATGTGGTGTGAGAGGTTACTTAAATACAAAACGCCATCCCTCCTGGGCATTGCTTCAATTGCCCCGACCTCATCCCAACCTGTGCAGACCGTCCAGCTCCTCACGGGCAACCGATCCCAACTCTCGCAGCTGCTGTGCCCGACACTAACTGCCGGCGCTCAGAACGTGCATGCGCCCTACCTCTTCACTTATAGGCCTCTCGAGTGTTTGCTGGGAGAGATTTGAATTTCGCTCATTTATCTCTTTTATGTATTGACCTTGGAGAGAGCAGGGAAGGGAAGCACTGATGTGTTGTTCCACTTGGTTCTGCATTCCTTGGTTGATTTTCCCATGCGCCCTGATCAGGAATTGAACCCACAAGCCTGGCTTATCTGGACAAAGCTTAAAGCAGCGGAGCTACCTGGCCAGGGCCTGTTTTGGTTTTAGTTTTAAAAAGCTCCTGTGTTGAGTGTATGGTCCTCTGCATGAAAGCCGATGCTGGTCAGCTGGTGGAAAGAGGCACCAAACAGCCCAGAACAGCGGCCCATCACTGGAGTGGAGGCAGGTGGGGTTTGTGTTCTTTTTTGTTGTTGTTCAAGTACAGTTGTCTCCATTCCCGCCCCCTTCCCCCCCCCCCACTGCTCCCGCCCACCCCAGCCATCCCCACTTCCCACAGGTTTGTGTTCTGGTCAAAGCAGTCTTCTGACTAGGATCCTAAAGGACATGGCCTGTGGGTCCCTGGGACCCAGTTTGTGGACCATGATGATGCTTCGTTTTATGAGCCCATCATGTTTTAAAGCCTATGTTGGCCCTGGAGTGTGAGGTAGTGCTTTGTATGTTGGTAGAAGCTTTAATAGACTGGAAGAAGCAAGTGCTTTCTTTTTATGCCCAAGGGGGGCCCGGTAGCTGGCTTTCTGAGGTCTGGCCAACATATCAGTAAATCGACAATACCGATGCAGCATCGAGTTGGGTGTGACGTTCCTTAAGGCCGCGCCTGGCTCCCTTCCCCTGGGGCTGCATTGCCTTTGTACTTCTTTGTGTGAGTGACTCCCAGACCCACACAGTCCAAATCCACATTCGTGATCAGGTCGCTTGGGGCACAGCTCCCCCTGGCTGGCCTGCCAGCATCTCCAAGTCTCCGTGACCAACATGATGACGGTAACGATGAGGATGTTCTTAAAACACATCTGCACATTACGTTACTCTCCTTCATTTAAAAGGCGGAGTCAACTTCCCTTTGCTTTGAATAACTTAGCGACTCAGTAGCAAGCCTTACTGACTCATTTCTAATAGAGAGCGTATATCAAAAGTGATGCTCTATGACTTCTGGAACTGGGTCATAAAAATGATACAGCTGCTCTGTGTGTGTGTGTGTCTTTGGAACTTAGCCGTCCTGCAGCGAGGCAGCCCGGGCCGCACAGAAGGACGAGCACGGCTTGACTGGTGAGCTCAGGCTGCCATCAGAACATCCCACAGACTGGGAGGCTTAAACCACAGAAACCTGCCTTCTCCCAGTACTGGAGGCTGGGAGTCCAAGATCAAAGTGATGGCAGGTTTGGTTTCTTCAGAGGCCCCTCCCCATGTGGCCCTCTCTGTGTGGCCTCGGCAGCTGGTTTGCTTCCCCCTAGAGCAAGTGATCTGAGAGGCTGGGGCAGAAGCAAACCTTTGTGACCTAGCTGCAGAAGCCCCACACACTGTCCTTGCGCAGTTTTTCCATTGGCCCCACAGGTCAGCACCGACTCGGTGCGGCAGGGGCCGGGCATGGGCGTGAACACCAAGAGAGGGGAGTCGTGGAAGGCCTTCTTGGCTTCCACGGTAACAGCAAGAGACACCATCTGTTCAGTCCCCGTTGTGTGCTTGGCTCCGGATGGAAATGATCTCATTTAACCCTCATTACAACCTTACGCAGGAGATCATTTTTGTCCCTAGTTTACACAGGAGAAAACAGGCGAAGAGTCATTAAAAATCTTGCCCAGGGCCGCAGAGCTCAGCAGATGGAGGAGGGAGAGGCACTCAGCCCCGGGTGACCCCGTACCAGGCCCTCCCCTCTCTCCTGGGGCCGAACCCGCGGAAGCTTTCCACCCCTTCGGCTCGCTCCCCACTGCCAAGTTCCATAAATCCCTTCATTGTCTCTCCTCCTCCTCCTCCTTTTCCAGCCTTGCTTTTACTGTCCTGATTCAGGGTGGTCCTACATGTACTAGCTATTTCATAAAAACATAAGGTTAAAAAAGGGGACATGTCTGTTAAACTAATGAAGAAACTATAACGACCTGTTATAGCTCCACTCAGCCTGAAACCCGTGCATCCGTGGGGATATTTAAAAGGAACACTCAGAGCAAATAGAGAGGCAGAAGGCGAGATAGTCTCAACGGCTTCTGTCCCCGAGACGGAGAATGTGGCTGTTCACAGTCCGGACTCTTGAAGACCATCGGGTCCACCCTTCATCCTCAGAGGAGGAAGCTGAGGCCCAGACAGGCGTATGGACAGACTGATGGCAACGTCCTGCTTGTTGGAGGCTGTCTGCCTGACGACCCTCTAAGACCCACCACGGCTACCCTGTTGACAGCAGGGATCCGTTGGTGTCACATTCCATACTAGGAGGGACAGCTGGTGGTGCTGAATTGGCATTCGGTGATCGGGGGCTGCTCAGGGACTCCGGCCTGCCCATCTGTACTGACGCAGCACTAATCGCTCAGAGCAAAGGGCTTCCCCGGTGGCGCTGTTCACCAAAAACTCCTGCCCAGTGAAAACTTGAAAAGGCCCCTGGGAAGAGACTTGTGGGAGGTTCGTTCAGGAACTGCCCCATCTACAGGGAGGAATAAGGCCTGAGCTACCATCCAACTGCAGCTTTGTCCTTTCTGAAAATGAATGTGGTATTCGGAGAAGAGGGCTCCGATGTATTCGGTTACAGGCACGGGGGAGAAGTGATCGTCTTTCCAGCTCTGAATGCCCAGTCGCCGTCCTAGCAGAGTGCAGGTGTTCATTCGAAAGACACCCCAGGGAAGTATATTCTAAGTCTAACCTGTGCTGTGCATTAGTGGCTGTGTTCCTGGGCTTCCAAGAGCAATCCCTGCCACTGAACTGCGGAGCGAACTGCTGCCTCCGGTCTCCAGGATGATGCCACCAGGCCATGAGAGAGAAGCCACTGCTGCCACCCCGCACGGTAGAGACCACCCTCCTCAGCTACCACTGCCCTGCACAGGGGCGCCACCTTGTGAAGGCTCAAGTGTTCAGCGGCCCAACAGGCTCTTTTCTTTCCAAACCACGTGAATGACCTACTGTGTACCCCGTACGGTTCTAGCAAAAGAACACCTGCAGGTTGGGGGCAGTTAGTTAATTTGTGGGGGCCCAGTTACGGGCGGGTCGGCCTGCACCCAGATGCTGCAGGACAGCATCGCTCCCTGCTGGCAGTCTCCCGCGGAGGTCCGGAGGGAGACTTGGGTCTCCACGTCCACCCGGGGAGCAGCACGGTTCACCCGTGTTCTTGCTTCAGCAAACTCTCTGGGCAATACAGCACCTGGGGGAGGGTGTTCGTGGGGCCTTCAATGTGTATTTTCAGACTGCAAACCCTCAGAGAAGGCATTTGAGTCAAGTTACACCCATTGACAACAAGGCTGAAGGCTTGCTGGCTGTGCTCCCCTTATTTGGGGGAAAATTCTTCTCATCTAATTGAATCCACCTGGTTCATAACCATTCGGATGGGGGCAGCCAGCTGACAGATCGTCTACAGGGTTCTGGGGGAGGAAGAGACCCTCTGTCTGTCTGCTGTCACCGGGATGCCATCGCCCACTCCCTAGGGGAGAAAGTGCCAGCCTAAGGCCTGTCTTTGGAGGGGGTGAAGGCCAGGCTCTTGAACTTGCTTTCTCTCATATTTTTTCCTCCTGTCAACTACTTGATCCTGGCTGGTGAAAGAGACGTTTTGTGAGGGCAGATATAAGGTGGACTTGGGCGATGTGACCTGAAGAACAAATGGTCTCAGTGACACATTTAGAGCCACCAGCTCATTCTGACGAGGAGGGAGGAGGATCTTAACCAGAGACAGCTTGTTAGAGCGGAAAAGCCATTGCAATACGGTTGCTCATTTTCCACACCCGCACCCTGGAGTTCTGCACACAGAGCTCCCCCCATGTGCTCCCCTCCCAGTTACAGTCTTCCAGAGCCCAGTGAACACACTGGATTCT